AGGAACTGAGTGTAACTGTGCTGTAAGATTAACTCCTCTTCCTGAGGGATTAAAAACTCCTACCTCCACCTTCCATCTCGTGTTCTCTCTATTCAGCAAATAAGTTTTGAATGCCTTGTGTGTGTCAGGCAGAGCGCTGAGCATTTTGAAGACTAAGATGCCACTTAGGTCTAAGTGTCTTAGTATGTGTTCCCCTGAAACATTTGGCCACACCCAGGAGATCTTTGTCTATAAAACACTTGACTCCTAAATGATATTCCTCTTTCAAGTTCTGTTGAATCACCGAATGAATGACTCCGTGCCTTCATTTACTAGTCCCAACCAGAGATTTAGGGAGTCACAGCGTTCTGGAATCACATATTTCAGTGTAGAAGGTCTTGCAAGATTCTGTGAGAGTTCTATCTCTTAGAAACCGGGAAGGCTCTTAGGCAGCTGGGCTGGCTACTTGGCTCTGTGGGCGTGAGGGCTGTCTTCTGGTCGGGCATCTGGGGCAGGCTTACTCCCAGAGGCTGGCCCCACAGGGGACCACAGGTAGGACTTGTTGGACCCAGCTTTCTCACTCTCTCCCTCTCCCTGTCACAGAGTAACCTTTCTCCTTCAGAAGTTGTGCAGTGGTCCAACCACAGGGTGATGGAGTGGTTGCGATCTGTGGACCTGGCGGAGTACGCACCCAACCTTCGTGGGAGCGGCGTCCACGGAGGCCTCATCGTGAGTGGCTCTTTAGCCTAACCCACCTGCTTCAGTGTAAACAGGGGTATTCAGAAACTGATTTCTTCCTGGCTAGACATGAATCCTAGGAAAAAGTATTGATAGCCCTTGCATCAATTGAAATCTCAAAATATTTGATAATCTGCAGTTGGGAATGAATATACCTCATGGAAACGAGATGGTTTCTGGAAAGGTCTTCTGTAGCAACAGATCCAGAGGGATCCAGGACAAATGGGTTGCATAAGTCAGGCCTTAACGCGGCATCTCCACCAGCACCTGGAGGAACACAGTGGCTGGGGAAGTGAGGGGTTGGCCACCACAGTGTAACTTCCCCCTTGGCGCAATATGGTCGTGGTTGTCACTCAGATCTGTCAAGTGGTAAAGCCAGTGGGGAAATGAAAGGGTGGTTTGAATGTCCTCCAGAGCAGACTGGACCTAGGGAGACAGCCGTACCCAGGAACCCACTGCTCTCTGCTGGGCACTGAGAATGAGGTGGGCAGTCAACCAGTGTGTTAGCGTCTACCCAGATCCGGGCCCTGTGCAGAGGAAACGGAGGGGAGTGGGATACAGGACAAGTGGATGAGCTTCAGCCCCTCTCTGGAGACACCCCTCTGCGCATGAGGGCCTCTCTGTCAGTGTGCCCTCCTGGAGCCATCTGTGGTCATCCCCGGGTGGTCTGTCTGTGTTTGTTTCTTAGATCCTGGAGCCACGCTTCACTGGGGACACCCTAGCTATGCTTCTCAATATTCCACCACAAAAGACGCTCCTCAGACGCCACCTAACCACCAAATTCAGTGCCCTGATTGGTCCTGAGGCTGAGCAAGAAAAGCGAGAGAAAATAGCCTCACCAGCGTACACGCCACTGACCACCACAGCCAAAGTGCGGGTGAGTTGCCAGGCCCTTCCTGGGGTGGCCACAGGGGCCTGCCTTCTAGCACTCGTGTTGTGCTGCAGCGGGCCCAGTGCCTGGAGCCAAACCAGCAAGGGCCATGGGGCACACAGATGAGGCTGTCTCAGGTACGGACCTCAGAGCTTGGTCTCCTCATCTGTTTTTGTTCAGCCAGTTCCCTGCCGTACCTGAGTCCAAGGAAGAGAGTAGACTTTTCTGTACACGGACATTACGTCCCAGAAGCATCTGCTCTCAGGCAACTGGTGCTTATGCTCTGTCCCAGTGCTGCCTTGACTCATCTCACAAGCAGATGAGCTCACGTTTCTGAGTTCTGTTCGGTCAGGCTCATCTGTGGGCCACACCGCTCTGGGAGGTCTTCCTCAGAACTGTCCTGCCAACATAGGGAGCGCTCCAGTGGCCTTGTGCTGGGGTGGCGGCCAGTACATGGCTGTCCAGGGGTCTCGAGGTCATACGAGCACCAGCAGCACTCACTGGGGCTGTCTGAACCCCACAGAGCCTGTGAGAAACTGCCTGAGCCACACTGTCCTCGGACCATGTCCGCCTCAGACTGCAGGCCCACACACACAATCTCTGGAGGCCGTGTCCCCAGCAGCAGGGGATGCCTAGGTCCAGCTCCAATTCATGCACAGACCTCCCTCCCCAAGGGAGCAGGACCACAAGTATGTCTGTGGGAGACCAGCGTGAACAGCAGGAGGGGCTGCCCAGGGCTCTCCAGTGTGGCCTCGCCGGGGCATGAGGCGCCGCGAGCCGCAGAGGCCACCACTGTGTGAGGCAGGTCCTCCACCTCCGCTCCCAATAGAAGTTCCTGGGTTCCCCTGGGAAGAGTAGAATGTCACTCGTGGGCCAGCAGGGCCTGAGTTTCTCGTACACAGTCTCGGAGGAGCAAGATTCTCTCTCCTTGCTCAAGATTATTTATCTGTTGGCCTTTCTCTAGCCAGGAGCTCTATTTTGTTGAGGATTTTTCCAGAAGTTGTTTGCCTTCTTCCTTTCCTCATGAGCCCGCTCTTATATTGTGAGTTCTATCTGCACACTGACTTGATAAGCCCTTTCTCCTAATCTTGCATTTATTGTGTTTTAGCCAAGGAAACTAGGATTTTCGCATTTTGGAAACATAAGAAAAAAGAAATTCGATGAGTCGACAGACTACATTTGCCCCATGGAGCCCAGTGACAGTGCTGGTGACGGTCACAGGGCCTACAGTGGCTACCGGGGCCTCAGCCCCCTCGATGCCCCTGAACTGGACAGGCTGGACCAGGTGGGACAGATTAGCTGATGGCCTTGTTACCTGTCCTCTCTGCACCCCGAGAGCTTCACCGTAACACCACGTGTGTCCCCATAGAGCTGTACCTCACCACCCGCCCCTGTGCATGCCTCGCAGAACATTCCGGCTGCTGTGTACCCCAGGCCAGTCTCTCTCTGAACTCTGGGGGTGGCCAGGGTATGGAGTGGCACTTTTGCTAAGGGGCCAGGCTTTGGGGACTGTTGCCAAAGGTGGACTCAGGAGGAAAGATGCTTGTACATCTGTAGTAATTTTTAGTGGCCATCTTCAGCACCGATGGAAACACACGACCCTGGACACGGGTTCAAAGACCACGGACAATCCCCAGAGGCTCAGCTCTTGGGCCCTTCTGCTGGGTTTCCACCGAGGGGCAATCTCAAGTGCCTTAGGCCTATGGCCGCAGAGTTGTGGCTGAGACCCCAGGGATGGCAGCAGGGACTCCTGCCGCAGTGACTGCGTAACTGTTGTGCCTTACCCACAGAGGTGGTCGCTTCTTTCTGGTAATAAAGACAATATTTATGTAGAAAGCAAATAGCGCCACATATCTTTAACCTCACTGGGCAGGGAAGAGAGCTGGGCACAGCTGGAGATGGAGTCCGTGTGTTGCCCAGCATGACAGCGGGTGGCCCTGAGCCAGTCCTCGGCCAGGGGCACACTCGGCATTTGCCAAGTGTCATGGACGAGGAGACTGGAGCAGGGAGGGACCCCGCATCCTTCAGAGGAGGTCTGGGGCCTCTTCGCTTCAGGCTCCACCTCCCTCTTATGAAGCTGTGGGGAACCTGGTGCTCACTGACTGTGGGTCACATCTGTCGTGCAGACCCCAGAGTCGGTTTCCGTTTCAGCAGTGTGAGCCTCCTCAGGGGCAGAGGGGGAGACAAGAACGCGGCCTCGTGGAAATTGCCTCTGTTCTTTTATGTGGTTTGTCAGCCTCCCTGCTACTAACCTGGCTGGGCCCGTAACCGCTGTGGGGGCTGGCCGGTCTGTCGGCAGAATGGGAACAGCCCTGGCTTCCTGATTTAGAGGCTGGCTAACTGATAATGGCTCTTCCAGATGGGCCTTGTCTGGACGGGGACTGACGGAGAGACACATCTTGCCAGTCTGGGTTCCTGCTCGTGAGATTCCAATTTGCCTAGGGCAGGGTTTGGCCCTTCTGGGTCCCCCGGGCCTCGTCTGCAAAATAACAGCGACCTCGTAACTGTCTGGTGGCTGGGGCAGGGCTTGATGGCCCCATTGAGGGCACTTTGATTCTGTCCCAGATGGAGGCAGTGCTCTGGTTTGCTTCTTAAACTACCAGCAACCCCAGGGATGGCCGATAACCCCAGGCCGTGACCGCCTGGGCCCCCCTAAAGTCAGCCTGGTGCCTGATCCCAGTACCCGGGACACTGAATGGCAGGTGCTCCTCGGGGCTGGTCGCTAGGCGTAGCTGTCATCGAGCCACAGGGCCGGCTTTGTCCCTGATTCCTAGGGTGTCCTGGGGAGAGCATCTCTGCATGCACGTGTTTTCAAACCCTGCATGGAATTTTGTCACTACATTTCTCTGTGGCCTCAAGCAAGGCCTGTGTCCCTTTGTGGGCCTCAATTTTCCCACCTGGAAAATGTGGGATGATACTTGAAGCCTTCAGAGGATGCTTCTAAATGTACAATGTCTACATAGGCTTAGGGAAGAGGGAGCAGACCAGCATTACCTGAGGAGGAGGGGAGGCGAGGGAGGCTCCTGGTAGTGAGGAAGCTCTATGAGCAGCTCCCTGAGGGTGCCCACACATACCTACCCTGGGCATCAGCGTGCAGGGTTCCGTTGTCACCGGAAGTTGTCGGTGTATTCAGCATGCTGAGGCCTTCATTCCTGCCGCTTTCTGCTTCTAGAAATAGCTGGAGCACTGAGCATGTGTGGAAGGGCTGCTTCTCATCTCCCGTGCACCCTCAGTGTTGGTGCCAGGACGGGCCCTGGGAGAGTGTGCACACAGCAGTGTGGGATACTGGAAGCTCCGGCCTTCCCAAGGACAGAAGCAGCATGTGCCCTGCCCAGCTGTCACTCCCCAGGGCCTGGGCCCCCTCCTCACCCACTCCCCAGGACAGGACTTGCATGCCATCCCTGTGAATCACAAGCTGAGTCCATCCGCGTGTGCTGACCAGGCTGCTGCCCATTTTACAGATGGCCCCTTCGGAAGGTGCTGTGACGCAGATAGGGCTCCTCTCCCAAGACATTCACCGCCTCACGGTAGGATTCTGACCCTCTCTCTGCAGTAGGCCAGGTGCTGGGGTGGCCCCACGAGTTTGGCGTCGTGATACCCACAGCCTGAGCACCACTCCCCAATCCCAACCTGGGTCCTAGGCTGTGCTAGAAATTCGAAGGATAGTGCTGAGCACTGTGGCCTGAGCTGCTAGGGGCACCGAGAAGGGTCACAGGCCTTGAGCTGAAACCAGCTAAAGTATGCCAGGTCTTGGTCCTCTTCCCAGGCTCAGAGCTGGTGAGGAAACCAAGATGCTTGGCAGTTCCGGGTCACCTGCCTCATCAGCCCAGTGCCCGGGCCTCCTCTCTGACCTGGTGAGCACTGCTCTTCCCTCTGCCCATGAGACACGTGCATTTTGTGCCATGCCTCTGGCCTCATGGCACTCATGGGCATGTGGACACATCCTAGTGTGCCTCATGGGGACAAACTATCACGAAGGGGCAGAATGGTGTCCAGGAGAGATGCCGCTTTGGAGGGAGGCCAATCTGGTTCAAGCCCCTGCTCTGCCTCTCACTGACTCTGGGACCTCAGGCAAGTCATTCTCTCTGCGAGCCGCAGCTTAGTTGTCTGTAAAGCCTCCTTGCAAGGCTTAGAGGCAGACGACAGCTGGCAGGAAAAGTCCAGCCACAGAGAAGATTCACGCTGTGGAGGCCCCGTACCTTCCACTGCCCCTTACTTTTGGATGGTCCCATCACTGAGCCCACTGGCTGTAGCCCCTGTCCCCGTCCTTCGCTCACTGATCTATTAGGGCACATTAAGAAGGCTGTATCCAAGGACAAGATGGGAGTGGAGGGGGCGGGGGGCTCCCTGAATCAGAATGAGATCATTTTTATTTTATTTTTCCCTTGGTTCGCACACTGAAGTGAATGCACCCGGCCTTGCCCTCATCACTACTCACAGGCCTTGGGTGGTCTTGAAATAGCAACTTCCCCTCTAAGGTATGAGCAATGTATTGTCTTGATAGCACAGTCTGTTCTGATTCCGCATGTGGGGTGCCTGGAACCCCATGAACTTAGGGGGTACCAGTGGTGTCAGATGGGACCTCACCCAGTGTCCCGCTGCTTCCTGCGTAGCTGCCACACAGCAGCCTTGACCAAAACCCTGTTCAACTGGCCCCTGGGCTGTGTCCTTTCAGACTCTGCTGAGCCAGGACCAGCTGCTGAGCGACTCTCGCCTGGCCGCTCCCAGCCCTGAGGACTGGAGGTGATTTTCTTCGTGGCCAAGAGCCCAGAGAGGCGCGCGTGGGGGCCCCGAGTCTTTGCATCGGGGAGCTGGCATGGCCACCCGCAGAGCCCAGACGGGCTGGCAGGACCCCTCGGACGTGTGCGCCGACAGGAGTGAGCAGAGCGGTGAACAGATGTCCAGGAGGGGGCCCCGGGGGCCCTGCGTTTTCAACCGTGCTAGGCTCTTCACCGCAGCTTTTATACCTTTTGTACTTTTATACGTGGATTGCCCCCCACTTCTGTGGGGAGGGCAGTGAGACATCAGCACAGATTCAATGGCCCCTGCTCTTCCTGGTGACGTTTGGGAGGTTCGTAGGCCAAAGGGGAGGGGCAAGGAGTTTGTAAAACTCTGCTGGAAGAAAATTCTGGAAAAAAAATGTTCTGGCTGTCCTGTAGTGGCTGAGCTGGCTGAAATGACAGGGAGCCCCTCCTGGCTGCTTCCACACTGAGGGGATACTTCCCTTCACAGGAACCGGCCCAGGGTGAGCACGGCGAAGGAGCAGTGGGACTCCTCCCACGGCCCTTACTGCCCTTGTCCTACCCTCCTCTGCAGCAGGGTGTCAGTTTGTCTGTGCTGCTGGGCCTCCTCAGGTCTGAGCAGAGGCGGCTCCAACACGTGAGCGGACCCCCTAACCCTAGCTGACCCGCAGCGCAGGCTCCCAAGTGCAGGTGTCTGGTCAGATGGCTGCCCCCAGTGGATGGCCCTTGCACACCCCAAACAACGTTTCCACTGCAGCTGGCCATCTCCCCACACAGCCTGTTCCCTGCCGCGTCTCCTTCCTCGGGGAGAGGCCCCATGTGCCCCCAGCCATTCTGTCCCTCCCAGCCAGTCTCCCCACTGGCGACAGCCCCATCCTCCCTGTGACAGACAGCTCAGGCCTCCTCTCTCCTCTGCTTTCCAAAGCTGGTCTCCTCCCCGGTCCCTCCTCTCCCCAGCTGGTCCCCTGCAGTTCTCGCCCCTGTCCGAGAGCGGCCTTCCCAAAGCACTGTTTTCATCCTGATACCGTTCCAGAATCGGGAGGGGCGTTCAAAAGCCTTAGGCAGTACCCACGGCCCTTCCGAGTCTCCAGCCTCACGAAGCCTCCCGAAAGCCTGTGCCGCTGCCTTTCCCTCACCGTGAGGTGTCCTTTTCCCCCTGCTCCCCCTCACAAGGCCGAGTTCTGCCTGTCCGGAGCCAGCAAGCCATGCGGCTTCTTTCAGGAAGCCTTCACTGATGCGTCGGAGTTTCCTGTGTCCCACTGTGCTGTCAGCCTGAGCCCGAGCCCTCCTCGCTCCCCCTGCTGGGTGTCTTTCTCCCTCACAACAGCCACCGTCAGCACAACGGCACCGAGCGGCTGCTGTGGGTGCACTCCCGTACTGCCGGCCCTGGTCCCCAAACCGCTCAGGGACTCCACGCGTGCCGCCGTGCCGTGCTCCAGCCACTCACCCCTTCATATGTTAAGCACGTTCCATCCCAGGCTGAGGGCTGGAGGTCTAGGCACGAATGTCAAGGTGCTTGTCTGAGGGTGCTGATGCTCTAGTGGGGGTTACACCTCTGTTTTAAGCTGAAAGGTACAGATGCTCCAGTAGAAACTAGTCCTTTTTAATGGAGAGCTGGGGGAGTGGCCGGAAAAGACTTCAAGGAAGAGGTGCTCCCTGGATTTCAGACATGAATCGGTTCCCCAAGTGTGCCAGAGGGGAAAGGTGGGGTAAGCTCTGTGTTAAAGTACGAGGGTGGGCTCTTACTCATCATACTGTGCCCAGCAGAGTGTCTTCTCCAAGTAGGGATCTGCTGAGGGTGCGCTGAACACGCGCATGGATGAAGGCTCGCAGCCTCTCCCCCCGACTCACCCCCCCACCCATTGCACCCATACCCACCCTCTGTGAGACCATCCCTAGGCAGGGCACAGCTGCAACCTCTCCTATCCCCCCCCCCCACGCACGCGCACATATCCAGTGACACCGTTGCAGCAGCAATGCTAACAATGCCAGTTTTTGCGGAAAGGAAAGGACTTGGAATTAAGCACCCAGGTCTGAAGCCCAGCTTTGCTGCCTCCTGTTAGAAGGACCTGAAGATAGTAACTTCGTTTTAGAGCTTCACTTTCCTCATCTGTAACTCGGGAGAACATCATCCCCACGGAATCTCCAGCTTGTTGTGAGAATGAATCGAACTAAAGCGCAGGACAAGTTCTACCCAGCCCTGGGCAACGGAGCAGTACGTCAGCCTGGCCGTGGACTGTCAGGGCTGGGGGGGGCGGGTCACTTGGATCACTTGGGCTTAGTAATGGCAAGGATTTTAGGAATAACTCCTGGAGCCTCATCTCATTTGCAAGTTCAGAAGCTTCTGTGCTAACCACCCCACCCGCCACACCAGAACGGGGCCTGGCATTTAGAAGATGCTGAGAAAACCAGGGCCCTTGCCTCCATCTGTTGTGCAAAGCACAGGGAGTCTAGCATGGCTGGAGCCTGCCTACCATACGGATTTACAACTCCCTAATACCTTTTAACACCGTTCCCACTTCAAGGGTCTCCTACAAAAGAAGGAAGAGTGCACATGGAGGGTGCCTGGGCCCTCTAGTAAGTCTGACCTTCAAAACAGAACGCTCTGGAGATGGGAGCTCAAGAGAGATTACTGGGAGTTGATACGACCCCACTTGGATCCTTCTGGAATTCTGCCCCTGCACTTTTGCCAGTTCTGACCTCCCTTGGACACACAGAAGACCGTTCACATGTAGGGCTGGCCTAGCAGGTCCCCCACAGAGCCACATCTCCTGAGCCGTCTGCTTTGTGCTGAAGTTGATTTCATTAAACTATGGGGCAAGGCACTGAAACGGAGTTCCTTCGAGCCTCCCAAGCTAGGAGGCCTCAGAAACCAGTCTGCCTCCAGCCCCTTGAATGCTTCTCAGGCTCACACCCGAACGAGGAGACATGTGCCTGAGGATGCATTACAAGGCACTTGTGAACACATCCCAGTTTAATGTGGTGAGGCAGAACTCACTCTGAAACAGACGAAAGGGACCAGGCAAATATGCTAGAAGCAAGGGAGGTATCAGTAAGTGAAAATCATATCCTTGGTATAACCCAGTTTCTCCAGGTTAGGGTGAGCAGTTGTCTGGATCAGGGGCAGTGGGCCACACACCAGGATGAGCGTGGACTGCCCAGGAGGAGGGAGGTGCTCCTTCATCATGTTGGCGGTGATGTAGCCTGAGCTGTATTTCCAGCCTGAGGTTAAGCAGAAGTAGAAAAAAGCTGTGAGGCTGCTGGGTGGAGCCCCTGACCCCAAGCCATCTGCCCCCACCCCAGCCCCACCCCAAAGAGGGAGGCAAGGCTGCTCTCCAAGGCTTAGAAGTCTGTACTGCTGTTCTCCGCAGAGAAGCAGGGAAGTAAGGACGTGGGAGACCTAGGAAGCCTTTGGTATTGACCCCGGATCCCAGGCTCACAGCTGGTGTCTGATGCCACACACACATGGGCAGGGATGGAGAACACAACAGTGAGGCGTGGTGTGAATTGAGGCAGGGAGCGGGGGCTGGGCAGGGTGGAGCAGGCCTGGGGTTTGCGGCTTGGTTGGGGGGCGCCCTCTGCTGGGCAGCGAGCTATATGACAAGGCAGGCACAGCTGGGTGCAGTAGGAGAGGCAGCATGAAGGTGCAGGGTGCGGGGGTGGCTGGGTGCTGGCTAGGGTTGCAGCAGCTGCCAGGGGCTTGCCATGTGATGACTATTGTCCAGGAGAGGTCGAGTGGTAAGGAGGCAAGGGGTCCATGGCCATGTATGTGATGTCTCTGCGGGACGCTGTGTCGAGTGTAGCATGGAGTGGGTGCTCAGAGCGACCCAGTGACTGGGTGTCCCTCTGAGTCCCTCCTGAGGTTCACTGCGCGTATGGACTGCTGCTGAGATATCAGACACTGCTCTTACAAGCAGGTCGTCCCCAGTCCTCTCTCCCTCCACTTCCATTTCCTATGCAGGGACAGAGCTGAAGGTCTCAGCTCCCAAGCACAGTCCTAAAAAGCAAACAAACCCAGGGACTAGTTCCTGAGGTGGGTCAAGGGTTGGAGCTAACCCACAGTGGGGACTGTGGGGATCGTACCAACAGGAGGCCTGTCCAGGGTGTACCATAGGTCGAACTGCTCTGGATGAGTTCTGGCAACTTCTTCAAGCTCCTCTCTCACCAAGATATCCTCCTCTGTCTAGAAGAGAAGCAACATGAGCAAAGCCCCTCCAGGGACGTCCTGCTTGGTCCCCACACTGAGCACACGGGTCAGCACATTTCTGCCTGAGCTGACCCCACCCGAGTGGCAGTGCTCTTACCACGACTCCCGGGGCAAACAAAGGTTCTGCTGCAGCTTCTGCACTACCAGCCCTCCCTCTTGTGGGCAGAGAACGGGGGAGGCTCCTGCAGTGGCGGTGACCACCCTCCAGCTGGAAGGCCACTGCGGAGCCCAGGTGGGGTGGCCTCACTCAGAGGTCCCAGCCCCCCGCCCCCATCCACACTGAGCACCAGGCAGGGCTAACCCAGCTGGAACCCAGTTGGAAGGAGCTGAGTGTGGGCCCAGGATCTTCTGCAGGGAGCGCAAGGGGTGAAGGCAGTAATACATAAGGCCCCCCTAACATAACAGCACTGGAGAGCTAAAGCAGAGGGCAACACAGGCTGGAGCATTTGGGGAAAGGAAACCAAAGCCAAAAGAAACTTGTCACGGCTCCGAGATACTGCAGAGAGGACCTGGATCTTAAAACTCGTCAGGTTCTTGTGCCCGCAGTCCTACTTCTGGGATCCCATTTAAGAAAATCATCTAAAAGGCATCAAGCCTAGACAATATCGTTCAATATTATCCTCTACACCTGTGAAAACTGGAAACAATCTGAATGCAGAAAATACAGTAAATAATGGTGCAACTTGATACAGACTGATGAAAATATTTATAAAGAGGTTTGATGAGAAGAAAATGCTCATGCGGTAATGTTGAGTGAAAAAACCAAGCAATATATAAATGTAATTGCAAATACATGGCATGTATAGAAGAAAGACAGGAAAGAAGTCAAGTATTTATATACTTCTGTATTTTCTAAAATTTCTACTGAGGGCATCTACGATTTTATACTCAGAAAAACAGAATTGATTATGAAGGAAAGAAAGCTTAGTTCATAGGGTGGCTGGGGAGAGAGTTAAAAACAAAAACAAGTGGGAAACCAGGCCTGGACTTCGCTCCTCCAGCGGCCACACCCCACAGCCCGGCTGAGCACCTGCTCAGAGCCCCGCCCCCCCCAGCCGCCGGGGCCCGGTGGCAGAGGCAGCAAGAGCTCAGGCAGGGGGCAGGTGTAAACCTCCCCTGCTCAGCAAACATGCCTCCTACCCCTCCAAGCTCAGGGCTGACTCGGCAGAACTGACCTGGTTGGCAAAGATGAGGGACATCCTGGTCCTGTCGCTGGGGTTCTTGGTAATGTGGCGAATGAGCTGCAGCATGGGCGTAATCCCTGGGACAGGAAGGAGCAGGCGGGACACAGCTAGTGGCACTCCCTCCCTCTCCCGTACCCACGATCCCTGGTCTGCAGCCCCTTAATGCTCTGCCTCAGCCCCAGTCCTGCTTCTCTCATGCCTGCCCCCGAACTCAAAGTGGAAAACCGCCCTTCATTTTGGTTTTCCCTTCTAATGCAACAATAAATCGAAAGCCCTTTCTGATGTTCACGTGCAAGATGGAAAGAGCCCTGGCTCTGAACTGGCTGGTTTCACACTCAGCCCCCTATCCCGACTTGCTCTCGGAGCAGGGTGAGTCAGGTGCCCGTCTGAGCTCTTCGGTGTCCCCATGTGTACAACAGAATGAATGACGAATAAGTGTGATCATTTCACAAGCGCCTATGATGGTGCCTGGCACATGTACGTGTCCTGATACATCTGTTCTGTTCTTTCAGACATTCATTCTCAGGGCATGGGGAGATTCGGGCTTGACCTGGATCCAGGAGCCCTTGGGGGACCATGTGTGGGCCTACTCAGCTCGGTCCCCAGACTCTTCCAGGGGCCCCAGGCTGACTTCCTAGGGCAGCCAGCATGCTGGATCAGGGGAGCAGGGCACATGGGGTCCGTTTCCAGGCCTGTCATCAACCTGCACTCCCCTCTAAAACAGCCATGGAAGAGTCTGCTCTAGGATCAAATGACTCCAAAATACGAAAGGTCTCGGGGCCCCTCCCCCCATGGAGGAAGCCCCGGAAGTCTCTCACCTGTGCCCCCAGCGATCATTCCCAGGTGACTGACCAGCTTCTTTTCAGGCTCACTTGTTTTGTATGCCTTGATTGAAAAGTTCCCTAGAAACACAGAGGACCCCTCTGACTTCTGCAGCTCTTGCCTGAGAGCTTGTAAGAGGTCATGGGCTTCCCTTGGGACTCCCAGGAGGCAAGGCCACCTGAGGGAGGAGCCGCACCGTTCTCGACCAGAGAAGTGAGTCAGGGGGGCCCGGGGGCCATGGTGCGCAAAGTGGAAACCGAGCCAAGGACTCACTGGACCTTTTCTTCTGAGGGAGGAGGGAAGCACAATGAAGTTAAGTAGAGCCTCACAGAACACTCTGAGCCACAGCATGAATGAGCGAGTCAGTAAATTACTGATTACAGTGAGTATGTGGTAAGGAACAAGAGTGGATGCCATCCATCCATCCATCCTTCCATTGCTCAGCCTTACAGACACCTTTTCTGCATCGGGCATCGTTCTGGAGATCCAGTTTCCATGAGGAAACACCCCAGCACTCCCCTACCTTAATGAAGCTTACAATCTCATCAAGTGTGTGTGTTGAGTGAACGTATGAAGGCTTTAAGGACAAGTCCACAGGACCCAACCCTGAGAAGTTTTCTACAACAGTGGAACAACCACAAGAATCTTCTTCTTTCCAGCGGGAGGCCCAATGTGAACCCCCCAGTACCTGGTTCATGATAGAACAGGCGACCGGTTGGCCCTCGAAAAAGGATGGTGTCCCCAATTTTCATATTCTCCAAGTACTGAGTCATCTTCCCCCCTTCTGGATAATTGGGGTGCACATTTTTGAAGTAGATCTGAAAAATAAGGCAGCCTGGTTTGTACACCCTCAGACTGGAGGCCACAGCTGCATACAACTCAAAATTCCATTTGCTACTGGAAACCTTGCAGCGCAAGTCCTCTGCCCTCACAGTTGCTCTAAGCACCCCTGAAGACTTCACCACAGCTTCACTGTTCCATGACACTGCTGGAAAGCCCTTCCCAGGTCATGGGTTCCTTCCCCACCCTACCACCTTTTGTAGGCTTCAGAGGGTGAGGCAGCTGGACGCAGGGGGCACCACTTACCTTTATAATCAAGTCCACAAAGCCTCGGTCATCATCACTGGACACCGGTGTGTAAGCCCTGACCACCAGAACACCGTCAATTTTGGCCAAGAGATGGACATAGTTACCTACAGAAAAGGCATCCAGTGCTAAATGTGAGCACAGCCAGCTGAAACAGGCCCCGGGATTCCCATAAAGGACTGAGCTTCAGGGAGGCAAGTGCCTAGTGTGGAAGGGTGCATAGGAGCAGCCCCAGGCAGGGAAGGGGCCCAGAGCCAGGATGCCTGAGTCCTAGGCCTGCCCTTGTGACTCCGCACACTACCCTGGGCAAGTCACTTCACCTCTCTGGGTGAGTGGGGATGATGTGCCTGCCCTGCCTCCATCCCAGTGGAGTTGTGATCCTCACGTGAGTGCATGCTTCCTGCGTCAGAGTCCTCTGCTGCACGGGAAGAGTTCATTCGGATTGGAGGCTGAGTATTAAAAATAACAGAAAGGTGTGCTTCCCTTTTAAAGCAAAATACGTTGCCTTCACAAAGCCATTTCTTCCTGAACTGGGCGGATCGCTGGGGTCAGTGAAAGAACCACAGCCCCCTCTTCTGCTTCTTGCTGCCTGGCTCAGGGCCAGCCTGGGCTCACAGGCACGCTGGGCCCCGGAATTTGACACCACAGACCAGGAGTTCTAGAAAGAGTACTGTGTCTTCCTGGCCTATGGCTCTGCTTGAGGAAGAGTAAAGTTTTGAGCTGCGGAATTCTGCCCCTCCAGGGTAGAACCGAATGGACCAGGCATGGCCACAGACCTATGGATCGGGACTACGTCCCAGTGTCACAGGATGGGCGGGGCTGCTCAGGTCCCCGCTGGATCTTCAAGTGGGACACTTCGGTGACTAAAAGTAATAGTGGTGCGGGCAGGAGCTGCTAGGGGACAGAGGCAAGAGGAAGCTCTGTGGTCTCTGTGGAGGCCCTGAAGCCTGAGGTGCAAACACTCGGGGTTAAGTAGGACAGGCTCTATACTGGAATTAAACTGCAGGGAAGGGAAAGAAGAAAGGACAGGCTCAGCAACTCTGGCTATGGCCTGGCTGCACCTCAGGAACACACAGAAATAAATGCCTGAGGCAGCTTCCTCCTGAGAACAAATGTGAACCTGGAGACCTCAGAAAGTCTCTTTCAGATGCAGCCAACCTGGGCCTGGCCTGGCCGTGTCCGTCCCGGAGAAAATGGGGCTGCCCTGGCGGGCCCCATTTCTCACCTCCTTCGATTCAGCTGAGCTGGGAGGCCCTCACAGCAGACTCTTCGAGAAGCCTCCAAACTACCTATCCCACCAACTCTGTACCACCTATATCAGGGCGAAGGAGAGGGGGGGTCATGGCAGATTCTGAGAAATTCTGTGTCTCATCATTTTTCATTCTTTTAGCCTTCTTGCCAGTAGGCCTGACCCCACAGGCCAGGCAGAGGGCTGGAAGGCAGGTTGGCACTGAGCTCTTGTGGATGGAGACAGGAAGAGGAAGCAGCAAGGAAGCTCGGGGGCCAGGTGGGCTGCGTGGTGAGTAATTTCATGACCCGACAGAGGAGAGGTCAAGGTTTGGTCCTACATACAACAGGACAAGATTAGGGTCTCCAGCAGGCTGGCAAGCAAACTAGCAGTTTGTTCAAAGCTCTGAATCCCCAGGTTGGGGACCTAGCCAAGGTTTTCCCCCTAAGGCAGACTTGGGCGTCTGGTGGTGTTACAGACTAGAAATGGGATAACTCGGAACTCTAGGCCTGCTAGGGCTGGTATTCATGCTGGGTCCCTCCTTGTGTGGGTCTGAGGTCCCTGCTGAAAAGACACACTGCGCGGGAAGACACACCTGACTCCCTCCTGCCTCTCCACACATTCTGGGCCTTTCTCCTGACTGTAGGGGACATCAGTTCCTTCCATCCCTCACATGTACACAGCACTTTGCACGTTCTCAATTTTCACACCCATCAGTCGCTTTACCCTCACAACAACCCAGGTGGCAGGCAGGCCTGGGAAACTCCATTTCATAGACCAAGGCTCAGAGAGGTTGAAGGACTTGCCTAAGGTTGCCCAGCAAGTAGCCTATGATGAGATCTTAGAGCTTCTGATCCTAGATTCACTTCTCTTCAGTGCTCACTAAGACATCACTTCTGTGTCAGCCCAAATCGAACAATGAGAAAGGAAATGGACTGCCCCCAAGCCCATCTCTCTACGTCTCTGAGCCGACCTGTCTTAGGAAAGGCAACCTCTCCACCCCAGCTGAGTTTCTGAGAGGAGCAGAGTGCTGGCAAGGCCCAGTCCCCGGTGATGACTCCAAACCCCACTCACCTACAGGAAGCCCCAAGACATGGTCTGGTGAGGGCAGTCCAAAACGGAACCTCCGGGTGTTGTGGGTGATTTGCTATAAAACAGAAAACAGAGGCAGGCTCTGTCAGCTTTCGAGAAGCATTTCTGGGCAACTCAAATGCCTGGTAAAGGAAGGAGCTCTATTTGTTGCGATCCCAGCGTGCGCGCGCGCACACACACACACACACACACACACACACACTCACTCGGAAGCAGTGGGGAGCAAACTGAAGGCCAGAAAATGCCTGTCCCACTGCCCTGCCTTCCCAGCCAGCACATTCTCCACCACTCTCGCCCTCTTCTTTTTCACAGGCTGCCAGTGGAGGGGGTGGGCTGACTCCACTACCTCTTTCTCAATCAAGGGCAGCAGGTACTTGGTTTCAGAGTCCTGTAAGGTGGTATGTCTTCTCCGTGAGTTCATGTTCCTCAGGGCCAACAGGACCGCTGTGACTCCAATGATGGTGATGGCAAGGAGCAGGGACGGGTCCTAGCCAGACACAATGTGAGCAGGGCGCCTCACATCCTGCGTGCCCTGGGCAGGACAGTGCTCAGGCACAACAGCACCCTCCCGACACCAAAGGCACAGGAGAAGCTGGGCCGTGCCCAGAAGAAACCAGACCGAGGGAAAGGTAATAAAACAATGCAGGGCGCCTGGGTGGCTCAGTCATTAAGCGTCTGCCTTGGGCTCAGGTCATGATCTCAGGGTCCTGGGATCGAGCCCCGCATGGGGCTCCCTGCTCAGAGGGGAACTTGCTTCTCTGTCTCCCTCTGCTCCTCCCCCACCCCCTTGTACTTGCGCTCTCTCTCTCTCTCTCAAATAAACAAATAAATAAAATCTTTAAAAAAACACAAAAAAACAGAACGCAGGCTGAGCCTATGGTGGATCTGGAGGATAGGGAGGAGTCAGCTGCAGATCAGACACGGCCAGGCAGAATTAATGTCACCAGGCCCTTCCTACCCATCTGCCTCCAACCTGGTACATCCAGGGGTACAAGGGTGAAAGTCCGGGGAGTCCCCTCCTCGAGGTGATGGCATTGCTGCTTCTGCTTTTTTTTTTTTTTTTTTGAGAGAGAGTGAGGAGTGGTGGGGGGGAGGTGTGGAAAGGAGAGAGAGACTTCCAAGCAGGCTCCAGGCCCAGCGTCTGAGTCTGATGTGGCGCGCGAGCTCAGGATCTTGGGATCATGGCGGAAGCTTAACCAACTGAGCTACCCAGGCACCCCTGGTGGCACTGCTTCTAACCCACAATCTAAAATGAACGTCGCAACCCCCAAAGACAGATCTAAAGAGGGGGGATAGGCATGGTATCCAGCAGGTAGTTGCTGCTGAGAGCTAGGCAGGGGATGGGGCTCGCCACCCCCACTACTCCCCCGACCAGGTTCAGGCGGGTGGGGTGGGGGTGAGTACCTCCGACTTAGGGGTGCTCCGTTACCTTAGCGCCTCGGGACACACCAGCACCCTCCGGGGCAGGCGAAGGAGGCCTGGCCACTCGCCGCCACTCGGGCGGGCTCCCGCCCCCGTCCCCAACCTCGCCCTGCGGCCCGCCCCGGGTCCGACCCCAGCCTGCCGCGGCGGGACCGGGGACCGGCCGCGGCGCCCAGGTCGCCGCCACACCACGCGGGCCCCGGCGCCGCTCGGCGCCGCCCCGCTCCCCGCCCCGCTCCCAGCCCCTCGCGGCCCCGCCCGGCCCACGCCCTCGCCCTCGGCCTCGCCCGCCCAGCCGGCCCGGGACCCCGTCGGACCTCCGCGGTCTCTCCCCGCCGCGCCCCGGGCACCCACCCGGAACGAGACGCCGAACATGTCGAAGTGGGGCTGGCTGCTAGGCCGCGGCGCGTCGGGCCGACTCGTGGGCGCGCCCGCAGCTCCGCCTGGCGGACCGGGAAGCCTGGGAGACTCACGGCCCGACGCCGGGAGAGGCGCTAGGCCGGCAACGCGCACCCCTCCGCGCCCGCGCAACCCCCAGCCCCCGTAAGCCCTCCCCGCGCCCCGCACAGCTCACACTCCCCCGCGGCCCGCAGAGCTCTTCTCCCGCGCGACTCGCGCCCTGCAGCGCCCTGCCCGCGGGGTGCCACCGCTGCGGGGTCCCCGCTCCTAGCGGCCATCTCTTGTTTATTCGTGGCCCCCTCTCCATCCTGCCCTCTCCCAGCACTCTCGGAGCAGCCAGGATGGAGAACTTCCTCTCTGCACCTGGTGCGAACTGTGCCAAGGTGGGAGAAAGGGAGGGGCGTCTGGGTGGGAGGACGGGATGCTGGTAAAAGAAATGGGAATTTAGGCCAATTCAGAGAGCACATGAATATAATCGTTCAACGCGCATAATGAGCTCCTACTGTGGGCCTGGTCTAGCGCTGGGTGTTTGCCCGGATGGGGGTGTCATGGAGTTAAGACTCGTTCAAAGCGCTCATTCACTCCTTCATTCTCTTTTTGGAGAGAGAGACGACAGGTACCCAACACTAGACCAACAGGAGGCAGAATGGCAGGCATCGACCGACGGTTATGGGGGTTCTTCGCAGCACATTTCAGAACCTTGATAACCCCCTCCCCCTATCAGTTCTCCCCTTGCCGGTGGTAAAGGTAAATCCCTGCCTCCTGGGCCTGAGGGAGACAGAGAAGCCAAGAAATAGCCAGCCATCCCCAGCCCCCAAATACACACCAGCACAGGCACATTACTTAGTGGACACCTCCCCTAATACTTGTAGGTACCAGGATATTATTGTAACATGTCTTAATTATCGACAATCTAATAAATGTAAAATGATGGCTTGTGAACCTAATATCATTTACCTAAGAGCTGAGGAGGTTGAACACCCTTCATATGTTTATTCCCCATGGTGGTTTTGGTTGTTTTTTTTTTCTGGAAAAAAAAAAAATGCCTGCTCATGACTTTTGCCCCTTTTTCTCTTGAGTTGAATTTTTCTTACTAATTTTTAGGAGTCTTATGTATATTAGAGACCACTTCTTTGCCAGTTATATCAGTTACAGATATTTTCTCCTGGTATGCAACTTCTTCCCTCCCTCCCTCCCTCCCTCCCTCCCTCCCCTTCTCTCTTCTCTCTCTCTCTCTCTCTCTCTCTCTCTCTGGCTTTTGATGAATAGCAGTTTGTAATTGCGATGTAGTCAGACGTATCAATCTCCAATCTTTTGCCTTTATGGTTAGTGCTTTTCTGTGACTTGTTTGTTCCTATGCAAGATCATAAAGATATTCTCTATTTTTTCTGACAAGACTTAAAGTTTTTCCTTTAACGTTTAAGTCTCTCAGCCACCTGGAACTGATTTCTGTATAGGATGCAAAGCAGGGATCCAACTTAATTTTTTCCATGTGGATAATGTGTTGTCTCCGTAATATTTGTTGACTTGCTCACCTGGTGGCTAACCTGCAGTGCCACCCCTGTCATATATCAGTCTTCGTGTAAGCATGAGTCTGGTTCTGGTCTCCCTGCTCTCTCTTGATGTTGTTGCCCAACCCCTCTGCCAATACCATACTGCTCTAATTACAGTCGTTTATTACGACTGTTTATACCCTTCCCTCGTACATTCTTTGGGTCTCAGTTCAAATACCACTTCTTCCTTAGAGATGCCTGATCCAATCCCCCAATTTAAGTAGATGTACACATTATATTCTATTCATGGCTTTTACTTCAGTTTGTAATTATACATCCTGTATATTTAATTGTTAAATGGCTGATTCTCACATTAGTCTAGATGTTCCATTATGGCAGAGATGTTGTTTCTCCAGGACTGAACGCAGTGACTGTCACACAGAGAACATTCAATAAATAGATAACAAATGAATGAATGAATTCCTCTCTGCCCAGCCACATTTAGCACACTGCCTGGCACACAGTAGATGCTCCAGAAATGCTCAAGAGAAGAACAGTCCTTTCTGTCAGTGTCCCCTTTTTTGCTTAATTTGTCTCCATAAAACATGTCAGCAGATGACATACTATGTATCTTATCTACTTGCTTACTCTTTCCCTCTACTACAATGTAAGCTCCATGAGGCCAGGACTTGCTGTGTTTTTGTTTTTTTTTAAGATTTTATTTATTTAGTTGACAGCAAGAGAGCACAAGTAGGGAGAGCAGCAGAGGGAGAGGGAGAAGCAGGCTCCCAGCTGACCAAGGACCCTGATGAGGGGCATGATCCCAGCATCCAAGGCAGATGCTTAACTGACTGAGCCACCCAGGTGCCCCAGGAATTGCTCTGTTTTAACTCCTGTTGTGTCCAAAGCCTCAGAATAGTGCCTGGCAATTGGTAGATGCTCAATAAATATTTAATGAATGAATGAATGAATGGTGAATGAAGAATGTACTTAATTTTCTCCCTCTGGTTCAATCAACTCTTTCTTTTTGGCTTTGGAATCATTGGGCACCTCCGTGTTTCCTGTGGCTCTCTTAGCAGTTGCCTCTACCCCCCATTCTCCCTTCTCTTTTTCCCTCCGTGTGACCAGAGAGGTAGCGGCACATCCCCCCTTGTTACCCTTTGAGCAGGATAAAAGGCAGGCATTTGTCTGGGCTTCCAGTAATTCTGAGAAGGCAATGCTTGCCTCTCTCCTCAGCACCCCTGCACACTCTAGATGCGCCCCTTGCATGCCCACGTTCTGCCTGGTTTGGCTCATCTTTTACTCCTCTCCTGAACGAGACCATGAGCACACGTCTCACTCTCTACATCTGAGGCTTAGTAATAGGGCCTGGCAAAGAGGAGGCACTCAGCAAGTGTTTGCTGAAAAAAGAAAAAATGAGTATCTGCTGTCACTGTTTTAGGATGTATGAGACTCTGCCCCACAAGACAGCTTCCCAAGTGAGGGGGCCAGCCACCCCCACTGCTGAGACTCCCGGGGGGGACTGATGCTGTGGCCAAGTCAAAGCTCCCTGAGCCTTTCCTCTCTAAACAGTGTCTGGGCTGTTGTGGGCTTTTCATTAGCTTTTTGACCTTGAAAATGATTTCTTTCCATTTCGCCCCTGAACAAATGACCACCTCTGAGGTTCTAGCTATTAAGCCTACGTTGTGGTAGGCTGGATAATGACCTTCCCCAAATAGGCCCACATCCTAAATCCCAGAACCCATGAATGCTGCCTTATATGGCAAAAGGGGCTTTGTTGCTGTGAGTAACCTAAAGATCTTGAGAGAGGGAGACTATCCTGGATTGTCTGGTTGGGCCCACTGTAATCACAATATTCCTTAGGAGAGGGATCCAGAAGGCAGTACGAGGCCAGAAGCAGCACTTGGAGTGACCATCTTGAAGATGGAGGCAGGGTCCACAAACCAAGGAATGCAGGTAGCCACTGAAGCAGAAAACGGCAAGAGAAAGGATTTCTCCTGAGAGCCTTTGGAAGGGACCAGCCCTGCCGATACCTTGACGTTAGCCCGGTGTGAAACTGATTTTATACTTCTGGCTTCCAGAACAGTAGGAGACTAATACATTTGTGCTGCTTAAAGACATCAAAGTTGTGGTAATTCATGATAGCAGCAATGGGAAACTAATCTACTAAATGAACTATTATTTTTGTCTCATCTGGCTTGTTTCTTTATAATTGGATTTATTCCAGAAACAGCTTTCCTGGGATTTGGATCAGAAAAGCCAGGAAGTGCTCCTTCCCTCTGGTGCCTGGTGTTCTTGTTGCTCTGTGTGACTCCTTTCTCCAGCAAACCACCTCCCTCAGCAGCCTCCACGCTGCTGCTGGTCCTGTCCTCAGCTCGTTTTCTCTGCCAGGCCCCGTGAGCGGCCCATCCATTCCATCCCTTCCTCTTCACCCTGGCTCTTGAACACAGTCCTTTGTGCATTGTGCACAAATGTCATCCTGAACAAAGGGTCCCAGCAGCCCAATCCAGGCTTGGGGATTGTCCTCAGCTTGACTGGGCTGAGCTTTATGAGAGAACACTGATGGAACACCTCACCCACTCCAAGCACCCAATGCCATGACCAGCGTAAAACCTTGCTTGAATTGGAGTTTCCTTGGTTTTCCTCTTCAAGGATTTTAAGCTAGAGTGTATTGATACCACCTGATCAGAATTCCCCACTTGCCCCAGAGGTGGGCAGAGAGCGATAATAACACTTTGCTTTCTGGACCAGCTTCAACCTCGATTTGTATAACAGAAATATGGCTTGGGAGACCTTGCACGCACCTGGTAATCAGGGGCTGACATGGGATGATGGAGTAAGACTGTATAAAGGTAAGAGTCTTTTTTTTTTTTTAGTTCAGTTATCCAACATAAAGTACATCATTAGTTTTTGGTATAGTGTTCAGCGATTCATTAGTTGCATGTAACACCCAGTGCTCATCACATCACGTGCCGTCTCTTAATGTCCATCCCCCAGTTACCCCATCCCCCCACCTACCTCCCTTCTGTAAGAGTCTTGAGACACCGGGAATGGGCAGAATTTGCCAGAAACAGTGTGTTTGGGAACAGTCAAAAAAACAGCTTGCCCGTTGCCCTGCCTGCACCCAGCCGAGCCCCCCTGAGCAGTGCTAGTGAAGCCCCTCCGAGGTGCTTACAGCAGTGGCCCCCACTCTTCCCAAACAGGCTCTGTCGTGGCAGGGGCTGGGTTAAAGTCTCCTGATGGCAGCAAGCTTGGACTGCGGAGCCCACGAGGAGCAAATGGGGCAGCAAATGCAGTTTCTAGGGCAGAGGTCCACCTGCACAGAGGGGGTGGGGCTGGGAGCCTCACACCTAGAATGGAGGAAAGGCGGGCCTTTAGGAAGTGGAAGGGCAGGGGCAGGGTAGGAAAATGTCCAAAAGAAAGAAATGAAGGGAGGCATGCCCTTCACCTACTTGAACACAGCCAGGACTTTGGTTGCTCGCTAACTTCCGGAGACACACGGTGACTCCTAGGTGCAGACATGAGGCGAGTCCCGTTACAACCCAGCGCGTTATTTACAAAGGCATGATTAAGGCTAGTGGGGCACACCTGAGTCTGATCACATTGTCTAGGGTGCAGTATTCGATGGATGGCTGTACCATGTGTCTGTGGTTAAGAAATCTATGGCCTGGACTGGGTGTTACATGCAAACAGTGAATCATGGAACACTACAGCAAAAACTAATGATGTAATGTATGGTGATTAACATAACATAATAAAATAAAATTAAAAAAACAAAGAAAAGAAATCTATGGCCTGGGATGCCTGGGTGGCTCAGTCGGTTAAGTGTCTGCCTTCAGCTCAGGTCATTATCCCAGGGTCGTGGGAGTCCCACATCAGGCTCCTTGCTCAGGGGGGGAGCCTGCTTGTCCCTCTGCTTGTGCTCTCTCTC